TGTACTGTGCAAGCACGTCTAACCCTCGAAAGACGGGGAACAACAGACGATAAACCGGACAAGAAGAAAGAAGAAGAAAACTTGAAATGATACCTGGTTCATCTATTATAATACAGATTTTCTGTTTTTCAGGGATGGTTTCTTGAATGACCAGGAGTTTCATGCCTTATGTGGAGAACTGTTGTCCAACAGCAAGAAGACCTACAATCTTACCACTGAACAGACAGACAGCATATTCAGACTCCTGGACACAAACAAGGTAATACTTTTATTGTAGAACATTCACACCATCTTTTTGTTATAAGATCACAGCATTCATCAAGTGTCAACATGCAATGTAGAACTACAATGTCATATGACACTGTTTTGCATGTTTGGTGACCTATGGATTGAAGCACTACACCCACATGTTCCAACACTCCTCACTACTAGTGCCTGTTTTTGTATTTTAGGATGGAAAACTTGACTTCAGTGAGTTTAAGACAGCGTGGTTTTACTGGCTTAGACAGGTAAGCAGGCACCAGTATACTGTGGATTACCTGACTCCTTTACTACCATGTAGCAACTTTGAGATAACCAATAGAAGAACTTCTTAATGAAAATCTTAAAGAAATATAAGACACTTTAAGCAATGTTTTCTAAAATGTCTCAGTGCTGATCTTAACATGACATTTGCAACAGATTTTGTGAAATTGCTTTGAAGATGTCTGGAAATTTGAATGTACATTGTCCATGTATACATTGTGTTGTTGTATTGTTTAAAGCTTGGATCAAGAATTACGGTAAGGATTCAAACTAAATCTTCTTCTGTGTCATGCAGGTTCTAGATTGCAAATCTGCCCTGATAGTGGTGGACATGCAGAACGACTTTATCGATGGTTCGTTGGCCGTGCGCCACTGCCCGGCTCACGAGGACGGCACCGACATCATCCCCACCATCAACCACCTGCTGGACGCCGTGTCGTTTGACGCCGTCGTTTATACAGCAGACTGGCACCCGGCCAATCACTGCTCTTTTGTGGACAACGTAAAACTCAGGGAGATACATGACACTAGTAAAGTAAGTTGGAGAGGATGTATAGATGATGGTTAAAAATAGATCACAAGATTTAACAATACAAAACAGCAGTACACGTCAGTGGACATAATGACAGCTATCAATAACTTAATAAACTAAGTATCTTGAAGTCATTAATAAACAGCAAATGTCACACCAGTACTAAATTATGGAATATTTTATCAGTAGAACCAATACCGATTCTATATCCTTGTAGCAACAACTTCTGCATATTATTTGACTGTATTCTTTTTTAACTAACCTTGTATTTCAGATTAAAGCTGACTCTGCCCAAGTCATGGACACGGTGGTTTTTGCTAGTCCAGAAAAGTTTGAACAGAAGCTGTGGCCTACTCACTGTGTACAGGATAGCAAGGGAGCAGAGCTGCATCCAGATCTAAAGGTACCTTGAGTTAACTCTTAATAGTGAATAGGAATGGCATTGTGATGTATGAGTGTAACAAACTAAGTGTTCTAGCCAGTGTCTATCCATAAAAGATTTTGCCCTATCTGTCATCATTGATGGACAAAAATCAGTTTTTAATGATCAGATACAAAAAGAGATGTCGTTCAAGTAACCTTAGTCTATGAGCAAAATTTGCCCCTCAAAATGTAGGAAAAAGAGTTTCAGAGGATAAAATCTAAAAATGTCCCCAGACACCCCTAGGATTGTCATACCTGAGCACAACATCTGTATCTGTGTAGCCGGGATAACTGCCTTTCAGCATAACACACCAGCTGATGTTACAACATGATGTTACATCAAACAGAATTAAGATGACGGAAAAAAATTTAAGGCTGGCTAGAACACTTAACAAATTGAACACTTTACAAATGAGAGTGACAGATATGCCTTCCTATGATTGACAGGTAGTAGATGACCACATCCTTATAAGGAAAGGGCTGGACCCAGATGTGGACAGTTACTCGGCATTCTGGGACAACATGAAGAAGAGCGCCACACCTCTGGTGTCAGAGTTAGCGAAACGGCACATCACGGACGTCTACATCTGCGGTATCGCCACGGATGTCTGCGTAGAGTTTACCTCATTGGATGCAATCGAACACGGGTTTAGGACTGTTCTTATTGAAGACGCGTGTTGTGGGGTGTCAGAAGAAGGGATTCAGGGAACCAAGACGAAGTTGAAGAAAGCTGGAGCTGTACTCGTGCAGTCTGCTGAGGTAAGTTAGCTTTAGGCGTCGTCTTTTGGTGAAAAAGCCATATTTATAAAATACTGTTGGGTTGGTAGAAGTGGAAATGTTCAAAATGATGTTCCTTATTGTAACAGTTACAACATTTGCAATGCAGGTCCAGAAAAGCCTTTGTGATAGTTTAGAATCACTACAACAGAAGTACATTGCAGTCATGCATCCGTAGACCTTATTTCAGCTTCTATCATGTGTAATACCAGTGAGTTGATAATGATTTTTTAACCATCACTACCTCTACTACAGGTACCAGACCTGGTGGACTGTCAGGACAGGCCGCCCCAACTGGCGTACCAAGCAGCTGTCAATGTTGCCATGGCAACAAAGGCTGCCAGCTCCATGGACAACGTTCACAACAACATGACATGACAGTTCTCTGCAACCTAGGTAGAGAATGTGCAAGTATTAACGGTACTAATTCTTAAGAAAAGTATAAAGAAGAATTCAAATCCATGCCTTTCCATTTTTAATGTATGATTATGATTCTTTTTACAAGTAGTGATGTATGTAACATGTACAACTGTAGCCAGTATAAATGAATTTGAAGGTGCTGTAATGATTATGATACAAATGACCTGTAGGTTTTATCAGAACCTTGATTCAAATAAGAATTGGGTAAAAAATACACAAACTTTTGAGAACAAAACAAGTGTAATGACTTTTCCTGAAGATTAGCAAATTGGAGGTTGACAAACGTAGAAAATTCCAAACATTGTTTTATTCTATAGCCATAGGTGAATACTAGTTGATTTAAGTTATTTTAATATCAACTTTGTTCATTGGAATTTTATTGTGGTGATATATTTTCAGTAGACAAATACTTGCATTGTGGGCACATAGCCACAAGGTATGCCTAAATATTTATATATTGTTATAATTTTATCACATAACTGGTAACCGGTAACCAATTTTTCTTGTAGATTACCAATTTGCTGGAAAACTGCGATTTGGTACTTTACCAACTAGTCAGTGCAACGTTTCAGCATTAGATACTAGCTAAGAAATAAACGCGATATTTTATGACTTCAATACAATCCAGCATAAATTGTAAGGGCTAATGAAGCAGAAATCAGTAATGTTACATGTAAATCATATATTAAGGTTTTATATTATAGTGCCTGAAATAACAATTCAATATTATATACGTTGTAAAAATTCAATAGTTGCATTATCCTGACAAACTTAACTTAACTTAAAAAACATAACTAATATCATTCATATGACAATGTACTTAACGCACAATGTTAGACAAGTTCTTGGACATGATGACTACATGTTGAATTGGTATAGATTGAAATAAAGATACCCAGCATCATATTTTTGGTATACTTAAATGCCAATTAACTGTAGGTGCATTATCTGTCATACTGAAACCTGTCCACGGCACCCAGAGTCTTATATCCGGGAAATATGACATACAGTGTGCAATGTTTAACAATGCCACTTCTGGATTGCACAAAGTAGTGAATTTTAGTTCCCATTCAAGGTTATACCTCTAATCAACATTTCTAGTATTTCAGTACCATCTGATCAACCATTTAGGGTTCCAAAATGGACCGTGTTTTCATAATCTTTGTGTTTTACCAAACTTCACCCTCGTTCTGTTTATCAAGGAAAGTACCAGGACACAGCATTCAGCCTCATATACCGGCTCTGGCAGCCGCATGTCCTCTGCTTCCCCCAGCTGGTTTTCCTGGGGTCTATACCTGTCCACAGTCTGGGATAGCCCCTCCCACGTACTCTGTCCACCCAGGAGGAAAATCTTGGTGGGTGTGGTCGCCACGCCCATGTAACATCTGGGCGTGGCCATAGAGTTGACCATGCTCCATTGGTCAGTGGCTGGGTCGTACTTTTCGATGGCAGACACGTCCAGTAAGGTCCCCCGGAGCAGTGCATTTCCTCCGCCTGTATGAGAACAAGATGTTCAGCTAATTACTAACATTAGTCGTAAGAGTCTTATAAAACAGCTTTTGATGTTTGGCAGTCGTTCCTGCCCTTTTGCATCTCACAGAAGATATTTCAGAAGCCATGGGTGAGGGCCATGTCAATTACAACTCACCGAAACTCCAAGATCTTTTGGTGGTTGCAAGACAGTATCAAATTGGCCAGGCAGTATCCAATACACCACCCAAGTACAGAAAAAAAAAGCCTAAAACATGAAAAATAAAAAAAACAAGCCTAAGCCTTTGCTTGGAGAGTCCAACTCACCTGCAATATAAATAGCACCATTAACACTAGCCATTGCATGGAAAGCTCTCCCAATGGCCATCGGTGACTTCAGTGTCCAGCTGTCTCCCTCAGGGTCGTAGCACACCATCTGTGATAAGAAGGCGCCCAGGTCGTGCACACCCCCGGCAGAACTGACTCCCCCGCACACGTACAGGCGACCGCTGCAGACTGCCGCAGCGTGGCCACTGCAGGGCTGCCGCAGACGGCTGCAGTCACTCCAACTGTTCTTCTGGATGTCGAACCGCTCCACACTGTCCAATCTCCATTGCATGTTGAGTCCTGTAAATGCAACAATTAGAAATACTTTGGTTATAACACTGTAATACATATGGTATAGGATGCACTTGAATACATAGGATGTCAAAATATGAAAGGATACTAGGTATATATAACCGTCTCATTGATACACTGTAATCAAATTGATATGCTGCATGACATAATACAGTCAAACACTAATAAATCTTGAATATATTTCATAACAGCTGGATATCTAATGTATGGCAATGCTTCTTACATTAGATACAAGAAAGTTTCAATCGAGCCAAAACCTCATAACATTACCTCCCACTGCATAGATGCTGTTGCCTAGCGGGATGAGGCAGAACTGCATCCGTGACTGTTCCATGTTGGACAGTTCCAGCCAGTGGTTCGTGCGTGGGTTGTAACGATGTGCGGTGTTCAAGATTTCCAGTGACTGCCCACCTAACCCACCAGCAAGGAACAGGAAGTTTCCAACTACTGCCACGGAGTGTCCAGAGCGTGCAATATCTCCTGGACATTGAAAGATAAGAGGAAAAAGAAACTGGGATACAAATGATAATGTCAACAATCAGTCTGTTATAAGTCCTTCAGTTTTAAGTTGAAAGTTTTAGTGGAAGGCTTACATCACAGAAACAACTACAAGTATTTATGAACTTGTATTTGTGCAAAATCAGTACCTGGCATATTGGTAAGCACCTCCCAGCTTGAAGTGTTCTTTGCTTCTATGTTATAGCAGAGTATATTACTGTAGGCATCATGGGATAGTTCCCAGGTTAACCCTCCTGCTACCAGGACGTGTGACGTGGCTCCTCTGGGAACCGTCTGCGGACTTTGCCGCAGTGGCTGACCGTTGACATCTGCGTGATAGTCTGATGCCTCCGTCAGTAAGGCCACACAGTTAGGGTAGTCACGGGATACAGGAGACCTTCTGATTCTGTCTAACATTGATGCCGTCATCAGCGGAAAACGGACAGCTTGTAGAATATCATCTGATTGGTGCATGCGACCCTCGCGGTCATGATACAGCCAATTGCAGGCCGCGTTGAACACATCCTTTTCAGCAACCAGCAACTTTTTAACAGAAAAGGGCATTTGTTTTGTATGATGGTGAATGTAATATTATGATTGATTTAACAGTTATTGTGCTGGACAACATTTGACTGAATGAATCAGGCAAATTGACTTACAAAATTACATCTCTTGTTATGCCTAATCAATGCCAACATTGTCTATAAATTTATCATTACAAATGGCCTTCATGCAAGAAAAAAATAGAAACACAAAAGGAAATTACAAACTTCATCACTGCTCAATATGGACAGCAACAACTTGAAGGGAATGTCGACAAGAACTTCTGAACCTAAGATGTTGGTAAAACTCTGTTTCAAGACGGGTTCAACACAGATGCACACATCATCCAGGTGAAACTCCTGACCAAGGTCATACACTGTTAAACAGTTCTTTATGTCTACGATAGACTTGAGATGACAGGTACAGTGTTGTAATAGAGCAGTCATCTGCAGGTAGGAGGCAGTGGACAGAATTTCCCGTATTGTGTCCAAAGACAAGTCCAGTTTGGTCTTGGTTATGAATTGGAGGGCTTTTTCCAGTCCACATGACGTCACTCCATGAATATTTACCTCCTCCTGCAGAAGAAGGTTGAAGAATGACTTTAATAAAGGCAATAAACTTGATTCATTGTCTACAGAAAATTTTGTTACTGGGAATGGAATGTACCCTGGGACATGAAAAAAAATAATTTTCTGAGGCCAAGGACAGGGTGTGCAAAGTAAAAAGCGTCTTAACTGTAACAGTTATGAGAATTACATTACATGTATATGAGAACACCCCTTTTGTACCATGGAATAGCCTTAAGAGGTCACAGCAAGGTCACTGGATTTTGCCCCTCACACCTGTGACCTCAAACGACTTTGTCAGCAGGTAAAAACAGGTTCAACCAGGAGAGCAGTCAGAATACTGGCATAATGTCTACTTTGAAGCTCCTTGCCACAGTGATTTGTGACTATACTAACTTGATTACAGTTTTCCTGGCTGTGTTTGTGTTTGTGTTGTTGTACAAGTTGTTCCAGAAGCCCCAAAACCTCCCCCCTGGACCACGCCCATGGCCACTCATAGGAAACCTGTTGACTCTGAGTCAGGTGAGCTGCAGTGTTTGTTTTGTGACACTTAAAAAAGCTTTTTCAAAGTTTGTTTTCAAGTTCTATACTGCAAGGATGAAGACTGGTAACAATGTAATTTGGACACTCAGACAAGTCTTGGTCTATCTGAAAAGATTTCTGGCTTGTTGACCAGAGTTATTGCCACAGTAACCCAATATGATAACAGTAACTACTTTTTCCACTTGGATTGCACCAAAGAAGGCAGACACAACATTTAACCCAGTTCAAAAAGGATCAGAGACTGTCAGGGAATGTCAGGGTTAGAAGACGAGACAGCTTATAATTATTTCTTTAATTTACAATTTATAATTAATTTGACTAAAAGGATGTCATCATATGCAGCCTCCAATAGTCTTTTCCCCAATATGTGATTTTGTTGTTTTTAGGACTCGGCACACTTACAGTATGTGAAGTGGGCCCAGCAGTATGGTGCTGTCTTCACTGTCTACTACGGTCCTTTTCCTACTGTTGTTATCAATGGCATGGACAACATCCAAGAGGCTCTGGTCAACAAGCCAGAAATCTTTTCAGATCGACCAAGATTTACGGATGGTCATGGTACTTACGTTATATGTAATAGATAGAATATAACTTCAAAGCATATGATATTCAGTATGGGCACATGGTTATGTCTTTAAGGTTAAAACCTCCAGAAGACGTTATCAGATCCTTCCCAAGCAGTTTTCTGTAGTGCTACAACAGAATTTCAATTTTTGGATCTAGCTCCTGATTTGGCTGCTTGCCATTCATCAAGATTTGTATGTGCACTGTACTGAGTAGTTCTTGAAGTGGTATAAGTCTGAAATCTCTAGCTGTTTTAATGGAACTGCAAGACTTAGTGCATTTTCATGACTTTTTACCTCCATGCTTTGACAAAGCATTAATCGGAATTGTAGAAATGATAAGTAGATTTCGTGAATGACCACCATCCGGTTTAAATAGCATCATTTTGGACTTGCAGAATGTTGTTTCAATGTTTTGTTTTGTTCCATGTTACAGGTATTATATTTGCTCATTATGGTCCCGTCTGGAAGGAACAGCGGAAGTTCACCATGTCAGGCCTGCGTGATTTCGGCTTTGGAAGGCGAAGCTTGGAGGGCAAAATCCTGAAAGAAGCAGAAGCCCTCAGTAGGGACATTATCAGGACTGGTGAATAATTCTCATAAACCCCACATAATCCTTGTTAGGTAATACTGGAGCATTCATGGTATCTCTAACATTCAAGTCAATTTTTCAAGCAGTCAGTCCTATCAGCTGCTTTAAACCTTTTTTGACCAGGTAGAAAGCACACAATATACTGTAAAATAATGCTGTACATGTGTATTGACCTTTTGACATCATTTGTTGCAATGTCTGGGTGGAGCTAATGTGTATTTCTCTATGACCTATTTCTCCCCTAGATGGTAGACCATTCAACATCAGCAGCATGTTACAGAAGGCCGTGACCAATGTCATCTGCTCCATCACATTTGGGGCGAGGCACGATTACCAAGACAACGACTTCCAGACTTTCCTGGAGACCATTGACACCAGGTTAAGAGCCTCGATCATCATCAATATATTCTCACCTGTTCTCCGCCATCTGCCTATTCTTGGCAAATCTGCACAAAAGGTTCATGAGAGCAACGAAAGGAGCGTGCAATTTGTAAAGATGAAGGCTGACGAACATCAGAGAGACTTTGATTCAAACGACATCCGAGACTTCGTGGACATCTACGTGAAGGAAATAAAGAGTGGACAAAATGAGAACTTTACAAATGCACAGCTGCATAAAATCATTGATGATCTGATAGCGGCTGGAACTGACACGACATCCCAGAGTCTGTACTGGATCCTCCTCTACATGGTGATCTACCCGGATATACAAGAACGAGCTCAGCAGGAAATCTCCCGTGTGTTTGGAGACAGCGCTTCTCCCACCACAGCCAAACGCACTGAGCTGCCTTTCACAGAGGCGGTCATTTCTGAAGTAATGCGGATCAACCCTGTGACGCCCCTTACAGTTCCTCACTGTACGTCAAGTGATACCGCCATTCATGGGTACGACATTCCCAGAGGCACCGCAGTACACATGAACCTGTGGTCAGTCCTGAGGGACCCTAGTCTGTGGGAGGAACCAGACCAGTTCAAACCGGAACGTTTCCTGGACAACCAAGGACAGTACATGAAGAAAGATGCCTTCATACCATTCTCAATTGGTAAATAGTCTGTACTGTATTTTGTATGATTGTATGTGTTGGAGATGATTAAAAATTATTCCTTTTTATATGTGTTTGCACTTTAAAAAATGCAACCTTTTATTTTTTGTTTTAGCTACTTACGCCATGGATTTAAAGCATCTTTCTTCCTGTCATTCAGGCCGTCGATCCTGCCTTGGTGCTCAGCTGGCTAAGATGGAACTGTTCCTGTTTACTGCATATCTGCTGCAGCACTTTACCTTCAAGCTGCCAGAGGGCGCACCTCCACCATCGACTGTAGGGAAGCTTGGGCTAAGCAATGGACCCAGGCCATATCAACTCTGTGCCATTCCAAAGTAGGATAGCTTGGCTGAAAGCCTTCAGCTTTACAAAGCTCCAGTTTGCAATTGTATTTTCAGATTATGTTGTTGATATTAGGTACTCTCAAGAGACAATGATTATTGCACTTGATAAGAAAATTGCAGATTAGGTCAATACCTACCCATGTTCTGGATCATGTTGTACAGTTAAACAAAATATTGACTAAATGTGGGCCTGGTAAACATCTTTAGGCAATGTGTAATCAAAACCTAATAACTAACCAACCTGATTAAGCTATTCACAGATATTTTTACATATTATCGTTACATGATGTCGAAAAGAGCAGGGGTCCTTCCTGGTGTGAGTGGTTCAAACTTTACAGTCTGGTCTCAGGTTTGACATCTTTGAAGAGGTGATACTCACCTATTATGTCAATCCTTCAACAGCTGTAAAAAATCTTCATAAATAAATGCAGGCTATTACCAAATGCACAAGTCATGCATGATTTAACAATAACTTGTTTTAGACATACATACCTGTGACGTCTCCCTCATTCCACTGGAAAACATGGCCTTGAAGTAGTCACTGCTGGCGATGAGCGAGGCCTTGTTGGCAGGAAACTTCCTGCCCCCTGCTATAAGTATGACAACTTCATCTGTGCCTTCCATACTCAAGCTCCCTGTTGTTGTCATGTTTCAAAAGGTCAACAGTTTCACAACAATGGCGCTCGTTTCATGGGTCGTTGACAGCAAACTACTTGCAGAGTCCACGACAGATACATGCTCCATTTTGCATTCTTTTTACATATTTTGCACATCTTGATAGTCAAACAGCATCACAACTGCTGCTTACATGGGCAACTAGTTTCTAGTCACGTTGCCTGTAACAAACTACACTTGCTCCTTAACCTCTGTGTAGGACTTACCATTAACATAATGGGGGTTGAGGGACTGACCAAAATGTTACAATTACCACCACCAAGTTTGCTCTATGAGATGTGTGAAATTAATCATGAAATGATACATGTGTCTGAGACATTCAAAGGAAGGAGTTGGGTTTAAAACTAAGGTTTACAGTTTGCCCCCTTTGACCCAGTAAATGAAATATTCCACCAGAGTTGTAACTTACAATTATACAGTAAACCTGTTTTCCCACCTTTAAACAGAGGACAAACCAATTATTATTTTTTGGCTGCTGTGCAAATTGTATAATGTCCAGGTCACTAACCAATTTTTCTTTCAAACACATCTGTATGTATATCTGCATGGAACTCACGACACAACTTATGTTGAAACATTCCTGCAAAAATTGAGATTCGGCCATACCAATGCATCTCTTGGTTTTCAGACATCTGAGGTGAAACAATATGAAGCAAAGCCAAGATGAAAACAAATGACAGAGGAAAACTATGATCTAAATACAAAATCTAAATACATCTACAAATATTTTTCCTCTCTGAAACTTTGTGTATCATTAATTATAGACCTTCCCCTCAGACTCTACTTTCATGTTGACCTTGATACATAATCTTTTTAATCCAAGGTAAGGACTAAGAAATCAAACTGGTGTGGCCTAGTATGGAAAACAAATAATTTTGGTAAGACTGGCCTCAGAAGTGTGTCAATCAGTCAACAATAGCAATGCTTTAGACCTGAGAAAAGCAGGGAATGAGTTGACATATTCTTGTCCTTGGTGCTGAACAGTATATCTGCATCTAGTATCTCAGGTATCTTTGACATACACAGTCACACAATTACTCTGTTTGCATTTACTTTAGAGACACACAGAATAACAAGCAGGAAGCAAATTTGCTATGATCTTTAATATTCTTCTGAACAGAGTACTGTGTTTCTTTAATTTGTTATATCAGTTTCCTGTTGCAGAATGGAACTTTCAAACATCACATTCTGCAAACCAAGGACATTTTGTAAAATGTCCTACTGTGTGTGTAAACACATCTTCTCCTTGTCCTGCTAGTGTTTCTGTGACATAAATGTTGATTCTAATGTGAGATTGAAAAAAAATCTTGCTTGGCTTTGACAGTTTTATGACAAAGACAGTTTTCTAGTACACTTTAAAGAAATGTGTCTAGATGTAAAGACAATATATATATTGTTAGCAGTAATATTTTCATGTGCAATGTAACTTGAGTCCACCTAGATGTAAACATGAAGCTGAAACTGACCTTCACATGTCTGGTAACATTTCAACATCAGGCACTTTCCTTGTCAACGAGTATCCTTTGCTATCATTATATAATAGGAAAATATCCTCTGCCCATCCGTAACATTTCAGCAGTTCTGCTTTCCAGCTCATTAACTGTCTTCTTTTGTTTTGGTTGAGGGCGTCACATACACGTGTATGTAGCAGCTATATAATGTCCTTGGTAGCAGCAATTGAAGCACAGACATGGAGAATATTTCAAACAGTCAACACTACTTGGCTCTATACCAACACTTTGCAAAGGGAAGTTGTAAAGGAAGGATTATTTTGTCCAAGGGAGAGTTACAGTATCTTTTATATCATCTCAGTTAGCTACATATGAATGCTAATAATGCTCCTATTTGGTCCATGGTAGATACCTGGTATGAGATACATGTTGAAGTACAAAAGAGGTTCAATATATAACATAACTTTTGATCGATGTGAGTCGGGTCTTTATAATAGCAGCATTAACAGATCTTTTTAAAGAAGAATTTGCCATTACAGCATATACAAAAAGTACCTGCAAGAGAGTGACAATCTGCAAATGATAGGAACTCAATTTCCCTTATAATGTAGACCACTCACACAATGGCTACATCTGCCACAAACCCTCCAGTTAACTTGACAGAGCACAGAGTGAGATGTGTTACTCTGTAGGCTCATTCACTAGCATTTGGCACATGCATAGCTTCAGAACTGTAATGACAAACAACACCATGTAATCCTAAACATTAAACACTTCTAGTGATCACGTACAGTCAAAACCTGACTTTAGAATCAGTTCTCATGCAACAAATCAAAGTAGATATCATGTATGTTTTCTGTCTTAAATTAACTTGCATTAATGTTTCATAATAGTATCTATTTTGCAACAAAAGTCATTGATGGCACATGAGTGAATGCTTGGAAGATGTATACAAGCAGTTCATATCTTGCAATAGACATTAATTCTTTCAAATACAACAGAGGCACGGAAAAACTGTAACACTAACAGAGAGTGCTAGAGTTGTCCGACATGCCCTCTCAGCATGCCTCAACTGGTGCATGTAACACTCTTTTAGCAAAAAAATTCGACAAGATTGTTTCAAGATGTTCTGAGCAGTAACAGGTTGGATCTTGCAACCTGCTCTAATAAAGGTTGCTACTATGAAGATTATGCATTTTGGGGATACTACTGTCACCCTAACATCACAGTCTGGTTCTGTCATAGGCCAGTGTGGGTTGGCTGCAGGTGGACATCAGAAGTACCTGGTACAGCTTCAATTTTACCTGCATAATATGCAGGTGGTATTATGAGCCCTGAAATGTATGTACAACACCTGCATCACACCAGGCCCTTCAGATCAGTCTCACTGGAACAGCTGGAGTGACACTTGAAGTACTGTCGGATTGCACCCTTCGCTCTCTCTTTCACTGGGTCAAGAGAAAAATGATTGATTCATTCATTCATTCATTGCTTGATTGATTGATTGATTGATTGATGATACAAAATCAAAAAGTAGATCCTTGCCAAAACCCCAAACTTCAGAAAACAAAGCCTCTGTTATTGGTTGAAATTTTCTTGTCAATATAAAGGTTGCTACCACATCATATAGAGAAATTCAGGCAAACAAATTGTTCGATGGAAGTTACATGATATTGGGGATTCTTTGTGAATTTTTCACCTTAAGATGAATACATTTAAAGTTACTGACAGGAATCATATTATTATTATTATTATTACTACAAACAAGAATGTACAGAACACAAGACTTATTTCTGTGGAAAAACAACATGTACTTACCATTGTCTGTATTAACTCTTGGATCATCCTTTAACTTGTGTGACAGCACACGGGCAAATGCCTTGAACAGGTCCTACAAGAAAGGATCAAAATAGGTGTTCAAAGCTTTTTAGCACACAACAACAAAACAGTAGCATATACTATGTAATAATGATAATACATACATACACACCTATTAATAACTATGGAGAAACTTTCATTACCTGTAAATGCTATTATGTACATATATCATTAATGTTTTCAAAAATACATATTAATCAGCTTGAAGATACAGCATGTTTGTTTGTTTGTTTGTTTGTTTGTTAATGTACACACCTTTGATGCAAATCTCCCGTCCTTGTAGTAGGGTGTGAGGTACCTCACCACTATATCAGCAGCATTCTTCAGCTCATCATTCAGGTCTGGTGTGTCATGTTGAGGTTTCCCGTTACTTACTGCAGACTTGTCCAAGCTTTGGCTACATTGATCGTTTGAGGCCGATTTTTCTTTTCCTGTGTTCTGCAAGTGTGATAATCTGTTGTTTCTAGTTGGACGGTTACTGGCAGAATTCTGGCTGTTGTTTGTTTTGTTTGGTGTTTTCACAGTTTGTGATGGATTTCTACATGTACCTAGTGTAGCTGTACTCTGGGCTGCTGCTTGTTTGCATTGTTTCTTTGCTGGTGCAGTCTCCTCCTGCAAATGGAGGTAACATTCATTCATTCATTGTAATCAAACTATTGGTACCCAATAGTAGGACATACAATGTATGCAGGAAAGGCATAAAAGATGGTGCAAGAAATCTCTTCCTAGTAGACTTGATTGAAAAAATCAACCATTATGACTATCATATGATTTTCAGGAGCTGATGTTATACTGTACTTGCTTGGGAAGTGCAAAAGGTACTTAATTTAAAACTTTTTAGGTCATTCACCTGGGTTGACAAGCTTCTTTTTTGTCTTGGATCTTCTGACCTGAGGCAGAAAAAAGAATGAATTCATGTTATAGCTGAGACTAACTAAAACTAGTCATAATTTCAATTCTAGTAAACTTTGTGCTATTGCATCATCTTTCTAAGTCAGCAAAATCAGCTACAAAGGGTCAGGTCACTGATAACTGGCACAGCAACAGAACTATGCCAGGTGCACAACCGTGTACATGTTCAAACTATAAAAGGATAATGGAAACAAACAATCTCTTAATGGCCCACTGCACATGTTTAAAAGAAAAGAGGCAACCTGGCAACAGAGGTATGTGTCTGTCAAGGGTGAGCATACGGCAAACTGAACTGAACGGACCTGGCAGTGTGCCTTCAGACATGGCTGAGAGCGGCACGCAGCACGCTGGGGCACTACTCAAGAACCAAACCTACCTCAACCAGCCAAAACATGGAAAGTGCAAAACTCAGGGACCAGAGCAGCAAGCATCAGAAGCGTCTGGTGAAGACAAGAAATTGGAACAGAACAACGCCGATCTAACATCACTCCAGTCCGACATTTCGGACCTCATGGACAAAATCAAAGAACTACAGCTGGATGTTCCGACAGAGGGGGGTGTCCAGTTCAAATTCCGCTGGGACAGGCTGGACCTGAAGAAGAACGTGCTCCAGAGGAGGCAGTGTATCCAACTGCAGAAGCAGCAGGAAGCCAAGCTGAGGCGCTCAGAGAAAATCGTGCCACAAAGAAAGGGGACAAAAGTCTGCTGAGAGCTGATCATGACACTGACCGGGCTGATAGCTGGGGAGAAGGCAGTCAACATGGACTACTACTCCTGGTATCTACAGCCAGTATAATCATCAGAGCATCACAACATTTGAGCAAGAGAACTAAAAACAAGTGATCATCTCTACACTGGCCTTTTTGTATCATGTCTACAAGAAGACATTTGAGGACTAGAAGTTCAAGGAAAAGGGTGGCTGCAGTATGAGCATTGAACATCACTGTATTTGACTGTGTAGGTAGGGAAAATGCCATTTAAGGCCTTACAAAAGTGGAAATCATAATTTTGTAATCATGTTTATAGTACTTACCTATTTGTCTCAAAGAAGTACTTGACAATAGGAGCTTGTTTCATTCCAGAATTTCCACTTCTACGATCTTTAGAGGTGCTCTTGGTCTTGGATCTTGTCCTCTTCAAGGTGCTGTTAGTACAGGTCTCACCACTTGTAGGGACTGAATACTGACTTCTAAGAAGTGTTGCAGCGGACTGAAATCCCCCAGTGAGAGACTCAGAGGCTGATTTTTGCCGTTCCTTTTCCAGAAGATTACTAGCTGTGGTGAAGCCTGTTGTAGAAATGTTTGAATCTGTTGTTTTGCTTTTCATCAAGTCTAATGCAGTCTGAAACCCTAGACTGCTTGAATGTCTTAGAGAGTACATTGAGTCTGATTCTAGTAGACTTGTTGAAGACTGGTAAACTTCGCTACTTGAAGGAGCCATTGGCTTAAACGCTGTCTTGGGATTAACCATGTCTTCAGACTTGAAGCGAGATCTTAGCAGACTGGAAGCAGTTTGGAAGCTGCAGCTGTAAGACGACTTCTTTTCTTCCTACAAAAAAACACAAAGTTGACCATTTGTAAATCAAACATTTTTGTGTTCAATAAAAGTTATGGAAAAAGTTATTTCTGTCCTCATATCTGTCTAACATTCCTTTCTGTCGTTAAGTACCTTTTAAGTACTTCACATTCATGCTTCAACAATTACAGCACTAAAACTCAGAGGAGAGCAAACAGGGGCTTTCTTTGCATACTAGATTGTGATCTTGATTTAGGGGAGGGAGAAACACGACCTGTCACTTCACACAGGTAGTGTACCAATGATAAATTACAATGTTACTGCCAAGTATAAAGGCTTAGACAAAAAGCCTTTCTTAGGCCATGCCAATACATTTCTAATAGTAGAGACTTGCAAGAAAAATTTGACCAACTGTGTTCACTCTCTGAATCTGTGTGTACTGTGGTATAGAGTTTACCATCAGACAATGTTTTCATTTTGTTGATATTTCAGTGATTTTTTTTAAACGCAAGAATCCAAAAAGCAAAATAAGTACATTTTGTATGACGTTACCGGTCAGCCTTGAGTCAGCTCTGCTTTGTTGGTTTGCTGATTGTAAATCACTTACATGTATAAAGCCATTTAGGCTTGACAGCCGATGCTTAAAAAGCAGTTATTTACCTTTACAGTTTGCAATAGAGAAGTAAATTCTGCTGGGTGATTAGAATCTGAGCTGTTCTTCCTGCCATCTTCTTGTTGGTTTACTTCTTCTTTAACAGTGGTTTTGCTGGCAGAACTTAAACTGTTGTTAGGTACAAGGGAGCTGTGTATGTCCCCCTTCTTGGTTGTGTTCTTGATTTCATTAACCTGATGAAACAAAGATACATGTTGTGAGGGTTGTTCAATTTCACAAAGGGGATGTTCACACATACAGCAGGAGTACACTTCTGCATGTGAAACATTATTTGAGAAAGTCAAATAAAGCCTATGTATTAGTAGAACAAAAAAAATTCTCAACTGGTATCACACAAATAATATGATCGCACTTAAGGTAAAATGTGTATAAACCCTGGTATTGTACTAACTTAACAAATTAAGAAGCCGGAAATTGACTGTAACATTCATCAGTTTAGTTTTGTTGACAATTAATACAATCATATATTGAAAAGCCTAAAATTTGACAGACCTATTAAGATCTGGACTGCAATGACCCTAGCATATCACCTGTCTACACACGTGCAGAATCTAGGAAAAAGATGTTTGACCTTTTTAAGAGCACCCATCCTGTAGGTTGAAGCCACACGACTGGCTCGGAACACTTCATGTTCCACGTCTATTGCACAACACTGTGGTTCCCACTCACTGTACATGGGTAATATAATAACTGTAGTCAGTATACGTACAACAATGTAGAAACACACTTCATGTCTATACAAGAAGGCGAGTCAAGAAATGGAACAAAGAACAAAATTATTAATTCAACCTTGTTCACAAAAACTGAGCAGGAAAAGGAATCCACATCCTCTAAATCTGACACACCACTTAAATCATACAACATATTTCACCTGGCAGCTTGCTTGGCAGGGTTGTCTCTGAAGTACTGGAGAAAGTTTTCCCTGAGTGCATCCTCCAGGAGCTTCAAACAGTGCTCTCTGGCCTGATATTAAAACAATCAAGAGTCACAGTACTATCTGTACCATCTATTCTACATCAAAAGAAGGAAAATATACAAGTTTATTCCTGACCTTTATCACAAAATTACTCATCTAACAATCATGTTTTCCAAATACTTTTAAGTTTTGAAAGATTTGCAACTGTTAACAGAAAGTATTACGTCCCTCTCTCCAATGTTTTCCCAGACACTTAACCATATTATACATAAACCTGTAGCACCCCTGATATGGATCTGTATTCAATTTGAATCATTTCCCTTTTTGTTAGTAAGAAACCTCTACATGTATCAGAAGACACATGATACCTTTATAGTGAGTTTGGGGATCCTCTGGCTGCCTGCCTCCCTCAGGGGACAGTCAGGGTCTGGGGGGACAAACTCCTCCTGGGTTGGGGTGTTAGAACCTTTCCCCTGCAGGACACAAGTAAACCAACACAGCAAAACTGTTAGCATTTAGTGGACAACATCTTGTCAGATTATGACATACAAACTCAGGTTTCTTTTTCAGACACCCCCCCCCCCCAA